TGGACTTGACTACAACCCCACGGATTGTGTTTTACCGAAGCCAGCTTGTGAAGGCTTGAGTGTTTCTCAGAAGGGACCCATTAGATAATACTGCAAATACAGCACGTAAAGCATTCCATGCATGCTCATAATGTTTTACATATACACTGTACTTTGACTGGATGTGTCTAATTGCATTTTTAAGACAGATTCTTGACAAATATTCCTCTTGAGCTGATCAGCCAGCTCATCCACTTTTATCACTTGAACCTGCACAATAAAGTCTTACTGTTGATCAGCCAGGAAAAAAATGAATAGTTGCCAAGCATGGGTAAAGTCTTAAATATTGTAACTTAACACTTTCATCAGTCAAACTGTATGTCAAATTTTCACTGCAATGTTACCAGTCCTTTGGAATTTAATGAATTAATGAGGATGTTTTTGTTTTGTATTTATTTTTAGGACAAGTTGCCTAAATACAATCCCTCGCTGGTGCGTGATGATGGCGCCCTTCAGCTTTTGGACCCCTACGTCCCCACCTCCCACCGAGTCCATAAGCGCTTCAGCCGACACGAGTTGGGCGGCTACCCAAAGAAAGACGCCGCCACCTACTGGCGGTGCGAGGACTATCCCCAGGCTTGGGGTCACGGCACCAAGCACAAGTGAGTTGACCTTTTCAAACTTGCTGAAAGCGCATTGTTTTTTCAGATTTTTTTTGAGGGGAGGGCTTTTTTCCATATTTTTTGGGAATGGGGGGACAGCTTTCCAAGAAGTGTTCTTATTTGTGTATGTGTAGAACTTTTATCATTGTATTCATAATAAGAATTTAATATTTCTTTTTCAAAAGCTAAAAAATAGTCTAAAAAATATGAAAAGAGTTATTGGTAGATGTTGCAATTTAGAGTCTTATTTTTGTTTTCCAATCATTGCTATATTCCCCAGCCCGCTGCCCAAGAACTCAGTGCCTCGGGAGTGCCCACCGATGCGGGACGACATGGTCTTCAAGACACCCATCCGGGAGCCTGTCCGCTGGCCTGAGAAGTTCCCCCGCGTCCCCCACAACGGCATCAAGTCCATCATGACTACTTCCTATGTCCCACCGTCCGATCCAAAGAATCGCGAGCTATTCTCCTGCCCCGTCGACACGCCCTGGGTGATCCCCAGATCCGGACCCAAGGAGACCTTCTCCGTGCCTTCTATGTACAACACTGAGTACCAGACCTATGCCAGCGGCAAACCCATTTCTATATAGACCTCTCTCTGTTGTAAAATCTGTATACATGTATAGACTAATATTTTGATGGCTTTGGACATTAAGTAAAGCACCTGTGCGGCAGTTGAATAGATCACAAGTCAATCACAGGTGTATCACAGTTGTTGCAAGAATCCCAAAATGCCTTTGTCACTGTATGAGTTGCTTGTCTACTTGGAGATGATTTGGAATCGACTTTGAGCTGGGCTTATGAGGAAGGGATAATTATGGAATTAACTTATCATCACTAATCAGTTGTGGAGCCAAAAGCTCTCTTGTTGAATATGATGGCATTGAATAACATTACTGACTGTCTGTGGAACTACTACACTACGAAGCACAGCAACCTGTCTCAAAAAGCTTTTGACAGTGCATTTGACTGATCCAAAGTCCTCAGCAATTGGTAATAAAGAAAATATTTTCAATTAGCACTGTCAACAAACTGTGTGGGCTGCAAGTTGTGCATTTAGATACAGTTGTAGCTTCTATTGAAATTTTCCAGCAAGAGCCATGTGAACCCATGGGAATTTGATCCGTCCATTATGATTATTGAGAGTATCTTCATGCCATTATCCTTAATTGGTACATAATTGGACACATTTGTCCACTTTTTCCAGCCGGCTACCAACTGTTGGCAGGTGTGGCTGTACCTAAAGCCATGTATGTACAATTGTATGTAAAGTTTCAAAAAGCCTATTAGTTCCGTCCTCTATCTCTGATTAAACGAAGTTTCCAAGTTTGTGAAATTTGTTCCTTTCTAAACCTGTTCACATTGTTGGACGTTATCTTGCTGCATGGTGCTCAGTTTCCAATTCCAAACTTTAATAGGAATGGCGAATGTGTGAACTGGCAAGTTTGAGATAAAATGGGTCCATCTTCACTGGACGGTGACAGAGTTGTTCTGGAAGAGAGGTCCAACAGTCCAGTGTAGTCTTATTCCAAATTCATCCCAACTGCACGTTTCTAGGGACGTAATGTACAGAAACAAAACTGGGAATGCATTCACTGCTCACGCACCCACGGGACATCACCCTAGACCTCACCACAGTGCCCGGTAGCAACACTACGACTTCAATTAAGCACCTAATTGCCAGAGGAAAAACTGTCCCCCGGCAGTTGTACGGTATTAGCATGTGGCACAGTCAGTGTGCGTCCTGTGGGTTTTGAGACGGTGTATCCGTGGTACGGGGGTGCATTTGTTGAAAAGTTAGAGCCATGCTTAACTACTGGCTAAAAGGAGATTGTAACTGTGGATGCAGGTTAAAAGTTTCAATAAATAATGAGTATATGTACACTGAATGACCTTCAAGTTTTAGGTAGTCTTTACTTTTATTGCTGATACAAAACTTTGATTTAAAAAAAAATGTGTACAGGCACCCATCGTTTTGCTTTACAAAGATGCTAAACAAGCGAAGTTTCAGTAGATCCCTTAAATGGTAATGATAGTCCAATATTTGATTCCACAAGAGTTCTATGTACATGTATACGAATTTCTTCTTCCTCTAGCAGGCCTGTCCATTTCTTTTGACAGCATGGGCGTAAATCCGGGGAGGGGGTATAGCCCCCCCCCACTTTCAGAGGGGGAAGGGGTGGGCAATTTAATCATCCCCCACTTTTTGTGGTGAGCGAAAAATTAAAGTGAGTTTTGAATAATTTTCGAGACTTCCGATGACTAAAATACATTCAATATCACTCAAAATGGGAAAAAACCAATTTTAAGCTATAAATACATGTATGCCATTCCGGATATATGTTAAGGATGTACATCATGAACATCAACCTCCAGTCATATTGAGTCATGCCCCCCTTTTTGGATTTTCACGTCTCTCCTTTTTCCACCCTCCAATTTCCAGCACTTTACGCCACTGTTTGACAGTCCCAACTTAGGACATTCTAAACAAACTTTGCTTCACTTTGTCTACTGATGCCGGGTATTTTACATGTAAGCCAGATCTTGAATACAGTTCTTTCGAATGAGTGTACATGCACATATACATTTAGGCCTATTCGCTCGTAAAATTGTCCAATTTTGCTCCAGTGCTACCTTATTCACAAAAGAGCCTGAAAGTTGACCCGTCAGGCTGATGGCGCACTTCCGGAACCCTTGCATAGGAAAAACCCGTGCAAAGATTTTAGAATTAATATTTTTTTTGTTCAGTTACTTCTTAAAAAAATCCAACTCGGAAAAACTTTGGAAAATATTTGCTAGTATATCAATATACAGAAACTGAATAATTACCTGATTTAAAAGAGAAATATCCTGCCAAAAATTGACCCGTCACTTCCGAAAATCTAAAATACCTGAAGAACAGTCCACTGCGGCGGTCTCGTAAGAGATGAACATTTACAGTTTGGAATTTTATAGCAGTCTGTCGGTAAAAGCCAAAATAAAAGCAGATCAAAATATTTCACACACTGGCTTGATTTATAAGGTAAAAAACTGAAAGCAATAATCTATTTTCACGAAAGATTCTACAAAAATTTTCAACCTTTGCTGACTGGGTCATCCAGTCCTGCATTTGTCAAAATTAATCACATCTACAGCATATGTAGGTTTTGATTTCAGCTCGTGCGGGTTCTGTTTTCCCCCAACTATCCAGATTCTTATCACCAGCAGTCAAATTTCAAAGTACATGTACACGTACACAGTACACTGCACAGAAGTACACTGTACATGTACTTTTTGGTGGTGTTATACCCTATTAAATTTTACCACCTTTATTTCAGTGCACGATGAACTTGGCAAAAACGACCCCACCAATGCAACATTTGACTCACGTTATACCTTTCACAATGTACCTTTCACAATCAAGTCCCATTGTTTAAAAAACCTGGAATTTCAGTGCTAGAAATACAAAGTCTGTCTATTTGCTTAGTTTAAAGGCAAATGCATGTACATTGTATCTCAACTGTCAATTTCTGTGTCACTATGCAGTACAACTACGTTTACTGTACATTCGCGTTTGAACACGTGATCTGACGTGCGTACTTGTACAGAGTATTAAATGAAGAAATGTTCATTCATACAAGTACATTTGTACCTCTTTCAGGAAATGTCCTTGGTTGCAATACATTTACATGTAGATACAAACTACACGTACGGCTAGAACATATCCGATGGAATTTTTTCTCGTACATCCTAATTTAGCACATCTTCACTTTTCCAAGCTTTCTGCCACCCCAAACCATTTTTGTTATACTTTACAAAGATCATGCTCATTGCTTTAAATATTGTGGATTACAACACCTCTTTCAATGATTCTGCATTTTGATTGGTTGAGAGCTGGTCACATGGCATTTGCCTCCGAAAGTGATGGAACATTCCAATTTACAACGTACATGTACAATGTACACATAGGCCTACATGCAGTACATGTAAAGGTACCTTGGTTGAAATTTAATGTGTACTTTTCCTTTATGCTTTTCCAGCATATAAGCCCCACTCCCTGTCGGCATCTCTTCAGTCT